GGAGAGACAGAAGGGGGTCAGCGAGCTCAGAGCCAGGCATGGAGCCCTGCTACACGCCACCTTCCACAAGAAAGAGGGGAGACAGGCCCACCCTCCAAGAAAGAGCCTGGGACAGACCCTTGGAACATCTGGCAGCCTATCCTCCTGGGGCAAAGCTCACTTCATGTCCCAAGCTCTAAACTACAAAACCCCTTAGCAGTGGCCCAGTCTCCCATTTCACATTCCAGAACACACTTAAAGATCCTAAGTGTGAAAGGGGCTTGCCCAGAGTCACACAGAAGTGTGTGTATGTGTGTGTGGGGGGGGGGCGGGGGGAGCAACTTCATTCATGGCCTTCTTTCTCATTGGGTTCCCACACTGGGCTGGAGATGAGCTGAGCCTGGCAGGCCTGCATGCTGCTCATCAGGGTCACAGGAGAAGCCACATCCCGCCCCTCCAAAATCCCTGCCACGTGTCTCCTCTCAACCCTGGTTCTTAATGGCTGCCCTCTGGCTATTCTGCCCACCAACCCCTTTCCCATGCCCTTTTTTTCTTGTAGAGAGAGCAGACAGGCTGGCCAGGGCCCTCCTTCCACTCTCCACACATGTATAAGGTATATGTGGGGGAGACTGAGAATGCATCCAGGAATCACCAGCATCTTTTCTGAGAAGTTGAAAAGAAAGATGAAGGGCCCAGAACTAAACCTGTGGGTACTGCTTTGTGGATATTGGTAAAAACCAGCTGACTTGGGGCATCTCCCAGGAGTGTGTCACTTCCTGTCTCTGAGCCTCAATTTCCTTGAATGAAGCTTGGAGAGGTTCTGACCCTGTTCTAAGATTACATTCCTACCTGCTTTGCCTCTCAGCCCCCCCACCACCCCCAGTTCTGCCCAGCAACTTCATCCCTCTGGAAAGACTCAGGACTCACGGGATTTACACTGGGACCCGAAGAATCCAGGTTTGCATCGACAGAGGCCTGGTTTCACACATATCTCATCTTCCTGGCAGGCGTCAGGCCCCTCACAGATGGCTGAAAAACACCCCACCCAGGTCGGAAGGAATGGGGGTACAACCAGGGGACACTCTGACCCTTCACTGCCTCCCAGTGCCCTGTCCCCTCAGGAACTGTTCCCTTAGAACTGGGGAGGGATGTGGGTGTCGCTAGATGGACCTGAGCTCCAAGGCTCAGGAGGGAAAATAGGCCCCAGGAAGGTAGGAAGGTCACTGGGCTGTCCTCCCTTCTCTTCGGGGTCAGTCCTGGCTACTCACGGATGGTGCATTCTTGATCTTTCTGCCTCCAGCCTGGACAGCACTGGAGCTCAGCAGAGGGGCTTGTGGAGTAGAGAGGGGTCAGCGGGGGGTGGGGAGGGTTAGGGTGGGGCGGGGTGGGGGATGGGACAGCCTGGATCCATAGGTAGATCACTGTCTCTGGCTGAGATATGGGAGGTTACCTCAGCCCCACCAGGAAGGCCCAGCCAAGAGTCACAGCCCAGTGTCCCCAACCCTTTCCTTCTCCTTCCCACGATCTGCCCTGACTATCCACCACACTCCAGGCTGTCCACAAGTCCCCCACCCTGTCCCCAAGTCCCCCACCCTTCAGCCCCAAGACCTCTTCTCTCACATCCTCCCTCCCCATACTTCGACACTAGTTCAGCCTCCGCCCTCCGTCAGACTCCCAGATCCACCTGTTGGCCTTGCAGACGTGCCGCCCATTAGGCTTCAGCTCAGAACCCTGGGTCTCTTGAATCCAGAGCAGCAGCAGTGGGAGCAGTAGCCACGGCACCATGGCGGCCAGTGCAGTAAGAGGGCCTGAGTTAGTCTGGCCCCCACAGCTCTCAACCCCCTCCCTGGTTTCCTCCTGAGGCTTTTCCTGAGGAAACCAGGCCTGAGGGGCGGGCCAACACGAGGTACCTCCCTGAGAGGGCGGGCAGGCTGTTGCTGGGAAGACCAGACACCAGAGAAATAAAAAGGAAAGGAAGTCCAATGTCAAATGCTGAGTGTGGGCTTAAGGGGCTGGTCTCAGTCTGGAGGGGGCAGGAAGATGAAACTGTAAGTCCTGGGGTATGGAGACAGGTGAGGGGTTGGGGGTCAAGGGGAGAGCCATGACTTTCCATTAGGTCATACACTCCAGTGAGGCCCAAGCTGAGGGAAGCCTCCCCACCCAGTGATGACCAGGGAGACCCTGTGAGTCTCAGCCTGTTTTTGCCCCTGGCAGAGCCGGACAGGGTGTGGGGGCAGACCACTGACAGACAGACGCGGAACAGTTTCTGGGTATCATGGGCAGTTTCTTTATTACATTAGCTTAGGCCATCCGCACAAAGCCCTGGGAGGTAGGTAGTCAGCTTTCCATTTCATGGTTGGGGAAGCTGAGACTAGAGTGGAAGCACTTTTATCTGGCCCTGGAGGCCTGGCTCAGAGATACAGGGAAGGAAGGTAGGTTGAGCTTCCTATCATGCCCTGGCTCAGGCCAGGATTGGGAAAGAGCCAGGGGCAAGCTGAGAAGGAGGGTGTCCCGTCCTTATTTGAGGGAGCCCTGTCCACACATCCACCCACAGTCAGACTTCAAGGTCAGGCCTCTGGAGCAGCTGAGCCCCCCAAAGATGTTCATTGAGAGCAGAGCAGGGCTGGTCAGGAGCTGGGGGCTACAGGGCTGCCCATAGGCTTCACGTGGGATTGCTGTGGGGCCTCTTCTTCTCTCCCTAGCTCACTGGAAGCTGTGCTGCTGGTTTTGGCTTCAGGGGCCTCTGCTTCACCCCGATAACACAGGCCAAAGCTGAGGGAAGAGCCAAGAGGTACTTTGAGCTTAGGTCCCAGAGAGATCAAGGATATGGGCTAAGGACAGGAGGTGGTGGGAAAAGAAGATCTGGTAAGAAGAAAGGGCAGCCTGAGGTAGCAGGGAGGTGAATGGACTGGGGCCAGAGACACAGGAGGGAAGGGGTACACTCAGAGCTCAGGACAGCAGAGTGAGCTTCAGAGGAGTGGGAAAAGGGATGCTGTAAAGAACCAAGGCAGGGCCCCTCCTTCACCCCTACCACTGTTGCCCTTCCTCTTCCCCCAACATACAAATTCTGTATTCTGGACTCAGGGGGTGTGGGGTAGTCCCCCTTGTCGCTGGAGAGCAGGAGCCATGAGCCATCCTCATCATCACTGAGGCAGAGGAGAGAGGAGAGAGATGTGAGGATCATTTATCAAGGTCCTGAGGAGCAACAGGAGTTCAGCTTTCTTCGGCCTTCTGTGCAGCCCCCAGGCAGAGGAGGAAGGGGAGGCCAGATTAACAACAGGGCCCCCAAGGCTGGAGAGAAGGAGACACTAGAGATGAAAGACATCTCAAGATTTTTGTTTTATAGCCTGGTGGATAGCAAGCCCCTGACAAGGCTGTGGCTACATTCTTTTTTGTTTGTTTGTTTGTTTTACTTATTAGATTACTGATTTATTATAAAAGAATATAACTCAGGAACAGCCAGATGGAAGAGATACATAGGGCAAGGTATGGGGAAAGGGCACAGAGCTTCTATGCCCTCTCCAGGCCTGCCTTAGTTCCCCAACTCCATGTGTTCACCAACCCAGAAACTCTCCAAATTCAATCCTTTTGGCTTTCTATGGCAGTCTCTGCAGCTACAGTTTTACCCCTCTGAGAACAAACAGATATGGCCAGGGCAGGGAACTGAAAAATGAATGTGGATAAACAGCATTAGC